AGCAAATTATTTAAGACGTTGTTATAAAAGAAATTCCGCAAAGGATTGATGTAGACATCCCAGTTACAGTTACACTACAATTTCCGTGAATAAACGGGTGTGCATATTCCTAACTACCTCCTTTAGTGGCGCGTAGAGTACATTTTTTGTTACAGTGGGTCTGATGTAACAATACTTGTTGTATATTATAACTCCTTTTCCGGTAAAAGGCAACTAAGGTTTTCGGCCCATACTTTCCTAAATGCATAGTAACACTTCCGTGATTGGCTATTGACTTATATCCGAAAGCAATTAAATTAAACGTCTGAGAATGTACAATAAATTCTTTGGGGAGCAATTTTACTTTTGTACATATTGAAGAAACAATCTTTCAGACCAACGCACATTTGTCACTTGCACAAATTTACTTCTGTAAGCTGAAGTAACTCTGAGTCACCCAGGCTCTCAGTTCGAAAATCAATTGGTCTTTGGTAAATGGGGTCCTAGGCGTGCGTAAGCACGTGATTAATTAAGTGGGTGGTAAATCTGTGTATCTCTAAGAAGTGTACGTATGTGTATGTAGAGTTTCAGAAATATTTTAATAGAAACAGTGGGGCCTGCTTGGGGCTGTAGTAAGCTCCTCTATTATATAATTTTTCGTTGTTGTAGGAGTTGTAGTTTCTTTTATTGTGTTGTAAAAATAGATGTATTGAAAATATGTGAGGTTTTGTTTACCACATGCAATTCAGCCAATTGTACCGAATTGTTGTTGTTGTTACTATTATTATTATTATTATTACTATTGTAATTGTTATCACTCGTAGAATGTCGGTTACCAGTCGAAGTTGAAATTCATTGTGCAAATCTTTTAAATATCTCATTACGATATTTAGGCCGAAGTGGCTCCCGGTTTTGAAAATATTTCTTGAAACGTTTCTGCGCAGTCTTACGTAGTAGCTCTCTACCTCCCCCGGTAGGAAGGGAGCGGAGGGGTGTGAACGCTTGTGTCTGCGCTGCGTAGGTGGGCGTGAACCGCGTGATCCGCGTGGTGTCGACGGGCGACCTCACCTTCTCGCTGGACGAGGCTGCGGGCAACGCCAGCGCCAGCAGCGGCGGCGGCGCGGCTCAGACCATGGTGTTCCCGGCGCGCGGCGAGGACGCGCCGCTGGCCGGCCTCATCTGCATGACGACGCCCGGCTTCGCCGCCACGCTCGTCGTGCTGCTGGCCATCCTGGTGGTGTCGTGCCTGCTGTCGGCCTTCCTCTGCGTCAAGCTGCGCCCCTTCTCGCACAAGAGCCCCGACGCCGCCCCCGC